ACATTCTAATATATATGACAAAGAAAAGGTCCAAATAGCATTTACATGCAGCAACACACTAGGAAAAATGTATAGCAACACTAAGGACAAGATTCCTAGATATGAGAAATCTGACGTAATATACAAAATTTCATGTAATGGCGACGGGTCCCACTTATGCGACAAAGTATATGTGGGGACAACAAAAACTAAACTCAAGACAAGGATTTCCGCACACAAATCAAATATAAAGTTAAGGAACAGCTCAACGGACAATAAGACGGCCTTGTCAGCACACTGTAGGGATACGGGACACTATCCCGATTTCGATAATGTCGCCATTCTATAAGAAGAAAAGAACTATAATAAACGCTATATTTTGGAAATGTTACACATTACGAACACCCCTAATGAGAGAAGGATCAACTTTAAAACAGACACAGACAATTGTGCACATGTGTATCGCAATTTGGTTTTAAATCGGCAACAACAATCCTCAACGTAGGTGTTCCTTCTTCCATAATTTACATTCGTTCCGTTTCCCCAACATACCTTCGTAGAATAACAATACAATGCTGTGCTTTTACATGTACATATACGTACATATTGTCTTACTGCTCAATGTTCCGTGTATTGTTGTTTGTATGTTTTTTGTTTACTATTACGGTATTTTTAATTGTTTACTTCTTATGTTTATATTAATTTGCCTAAAATTTCACTTGTTTAACTTTTATTTCTGTACGCCTAGTTAGTCGACCAGGCACAATCAAGAGTGTCAGTTGTGTTTAACATATGTTTGTAATAATTTAAAGTTAATAATATGCTATCGTGCTATATCAACAATTAAAATAACTATAGAACGAAAATTTGCGTTTTATTTAATTGCTGGGCCTCGAGCTTGTTAAAAATGATTCATAAGTTAAAAAATAAAATAAAAGACATTTATTGTACCCAAATCACACGTGAACATTGCAAAGATCGTGCATTTATGCAAGTACAAGTGATAGCTGCACTTTTTATATGAAAATTTGCTAATGGAAGTGCAAAAAATTACTTAATTTACTTAAATACTAGTATTAAAAAAGTGAAAATAGTGAGAATTTATGTAAACATATCTGTTTCTTAAGCTGAAATTAGTCGAGAACGCATAACGTATACTTAAACGCAGTCTGTATACGCAGAATTTTGCTGATTACTGGAGCCCTGAGGGTTGCTTACTACACTGTTGCCACTCGTCAATGCCTTTTCATAAACTTACCCTTTCAACTACAATTTTTCGTGCTATAATAGATTTTAGCTAAATATAAACAACTTAGTTTTCAACAAAAACCTTATTCAATAGTAAATTTCAAATATTTTAAACATATTTTGAATAGGAACTTATATCTTTTTTAACATCTGTAAAACTGACGAAGTGGCAACCATCTAAAGGAGAAATCAGCTGACACGGAAAAATCTAAATTCCGCAGATTTCTGCGCTACGGGCTACAACTACGGAAAAATTTTGCGTTGTTGAGTTTTCATTTACATGGCGCTTTGGTAAGACAGATCGTGTCAGCTGACTCGGGTTTACGTTCCGGTAGGTTTACGTTCTTGACTAATTTCAGCTTAAAGCTGCGGAATTTAGATTTTTTCGTGTCAGCCGATTTCTTCCTTTTTAGATGGTTGCCACTTCGCCAGTTTTGCAGATGGTAAAAAAGTTATAAGTTCCTATCCAAATATGCTTAAAATATTTGAAATTTACTATTGATTAAGGTTTTTTGTTGAAAACTAGGTAGTTCATATTTAGCTACAATCTATTATAGCACGAAAAATTGTAGTTGAAAAGGTATAGGGGGCACGGTAAAAACCGGTTTTCGTATGGGACAGCTTTGCAAACCGTGCAATCCGTGCACCGTGAAAGGGCTTTGCAAGACTCAGAGAATACCCCTTATGTTTATGAAGAGGCATTGAGTGGCAACACTGTAGTAAGCAACACTGAGGGCCCCAGCAATCGACAAAATTCTGCGTATACAGACTGCGTTTAAGTATAAGTTCTGCGTTCTTGACTTAATTCAGCTTTAGCATCTTCGTAAAGTTTCATTAGAAAATTCGTTATAGTTTTGCTAAAACACACACATGTCGATGTACACTAAAGTCAACCCGGGATTATAACCCTCACTAAGTAGAATCCTCCTTTCTTTGTTGCCGAAGAAAAGGGGCTGAACACCTTTTGCAGGGAACCTTGTGCGTAGGCGGCCTTCGGCCGCGCTTAGGGATTATAACCCTCACTAAGTAGAATTTTCCGTAGAAATAAACTCAGGCTTGCCTCAAGGTAGCTGTTTATCTCCAACATTATTTAATATATATACAGCCCAACTACACGAAATCAACAATCCTCACACGCACCTATTTCAATTCGCTGACGACCTAGCCATAGTATCCACAAACTCAAACAAAACAGCAGCAGTTCAAAATTTACAAGATAAAATAGCAGAATTACAGGTAAAGTGTCATAACTTAAATCTAAAGTTCAACTTAGATAAGACAAAATTCATGTATATGTCCGCAAATAACCGACAACAGTTCAACATATCAATCAACAGCACAAACTTGGAACAAGTCCAATGTTTTAAGTGGTTAGGAAGAACCATCAGCGCAAACTCAACTGTCAAGGTACATATTAGCAACATTAAAAAAGCTGTAACTCCAGGTAAAAACCTCATTTCGAAATTAACATCAATTAAAGCAGGAATCTCCCCTAAAACCTCAATAAATCTGTTTAAAGCATTCGTCCGGTCCAAAGCTGAATATGCCAGCACCAGTTACGCCAATGCACCAAAAGGTTACAACAAGCAACTTCAAACGAGCGTTAATGAAACTCTACGGAGATGTCTAGGAGTACCACCTAACACCCCAACACTTATGCGATACGCGCTAGCCTGCGAACTCCCACCTCTATCTAGAGCAGTGTGGCTGACAGCTAAAGAACTGGTCAAACAATGGTTCCTCAACCCGGCACTAAGAACACAATTACAAGACAAACCGGCCATAAATTCAAGCTATAGTAGAACATATGAAAAATTCAAAGTAACCATAAACAACATAGACACAAATGTTGCCTTTAACAGACATAACAATATTACCCTTTTTCAATCTGAATTATCGAACTCAAAAAAAAATTTCTCCTCCACACAACTTAGAGCAATTTATAACCAAAAAATCAACACTTTGAAGGATGATGGCTACAACATATATGCGACTGATGCATCGGTGATGGCAAATAAAGTTGGATGTGCAGTGTACGTGGAAACAACCAATGTCTCATACCTTTTTAACATAGACGGAAATTTTACCTCAACCTACGGTGAGCTAGTTGCACTATCTCAGGCAGCTACAATAGCAAGCAACAGCGGGAACAAAAAGATAGCAATTTTCACAGACAGCCAGGCAGCAATCAAAGCCCTCGACAATCACACCACACAGAACTTCCTTGTGGCAGAAATTCACAACAAACTACACAGATCCAACATTGAAAACATAATGATAGTACGGACACCCAGTCATGTTGGGATAACAATAAACGAAAAAGCCGACATTGCTGCAAAAACTGCAATTGATTTCGGTAAATCTCTCTCTCCTAAATTAAGCCTAAATGAAGCACTCCTAAAAATAAGCACCAGACTGTGGACTGAAACCAAAGACGAATTTAACAACAAACTACCAAACTGGGACCCTGACATTGCGGAATTTTGTACATTGAAAATAAACAATCCGTGGTTTAAAAACAAAAAACTGAACTTAGAAGCATACGACATAAAACTATTTAACAGAATTGCAACAGGACATACATACGGTAATAAACAAATTTCAGCATTACAGGTCAGATACCTGTAATACGTGCAACACTAAGGAAACGGCGGAACACCTTATATTCGACTGCAGTACTTACAGCACTCTAAGAAATGAGTATACGCTTTTCCAAACGTACCACAACTTCAAACAAATTCTGCTTTCAAAAAATCCCACATTTACAAACAACTTATTGACTTCCTACACAGAAGTGGGCTGGATAAAGCACTATAGTGGAAAAAAAAAAGGTAAATTAGAAAAAAAATAAAATAAAAAATATAAGCACCCAACACATAAGAATGAAGAAAAGAACAAAAAAAAAAAATCATGGGAAAAATATATATATATGTATGCAAATACTAAGTACATAGAGAAAAAAAAAAAAAAATATAAATAGATTATAACTAAACTTTTTCACACAATTTCGTTTACACCGATGAGGACATCTACACCAACAAATAAAGGAAAAACTGTGACTGAAGGATAAACACCACGTTTTACAAACCTGGCACTTGAGGTTATACACCTTGCCATTTAGGGGACCAATCGTTTAGGTTCCTATAGCCAAAAAAAAAAAAAAGTAGAATTTTCCTTTCTGTGTTGCCAAAGAGGGGCTGAACACCTTTTGCAGACATCCCAAAATCGTTGCACAAATATGCAACAGTACCCCAAACCAGAATTTCGAAAGAAAATGAGTTAAGAGCCTTTCTATATGTAAAACAATTTTAATATGAGATAAAGTAATTTTACTTACCCAGATAGGGCATTGCGAAATTTGACTATAAGGGTATCTTCGACGATTCGGTTATTTATTTCCAAGAGAATCATGTTAAAACCTCAAATTGTGTGTGACCAATGCGCGTGAATGGAAGTTACTCAGATTCACGTTTCTGCTTGGCGATAAGATTATGGATGTATATAACAATCTATTTCTCCTTTTTTATTAAAAATCAGTAATTTCATACAATTCTTTTTTGTGATTACGCACACGTCGATGAAATGGTCGGACATTGGTCGATAGAGCTGCACAACTATCGAAGGCACTATAGATAGTATCGATAGTTTCAGTTTGACAACGCTATCGATGAATGATAGGCACTATCGCTATATCGGAAACCTTCAAATACAAATAATTGACAAAAACCAACAGTGAGACCTAGCTACTTCAAACTACAAGAGTTCTACTCAAAAACTTTCTTTGAAACCTAATTAAAAAGCTCGAAATGTTGATTACTCGAAAAACTCGAATTTTCCTCGTTTTTGTAAATAGTTTAAAATGTAGACTTGCAACGTGTTATTTGTTATTTTAAATAAAGTACACCAAAATGGCGTTTAAAACTGTAATAGATTGAGCATGAGTGTAAACATAAGTATACCATAACTAGTTGAACGCATGAACGAAAGACACAAGATCACGTAAGAACAAGAGAGTGAAACAAGTCGATTTTTTTTAGCGGGTTCTACACCATCTTGTTTCACTGTAAAACGAGCGAAAAGTAAACTAAGCAAAGAAACAAGGCTGCAATTTAGTTTGGTATCCCCGGAGTTCCGCATTAAGGTAGCTATGGAACGGTAGAGGGAGTTTTCCTGATTGCAAATATATATACTTTTAGCCGCAGCAGGCTTATAGTTTTTAAGTTATTTGTTGTTAAAGTTTGTAAATTGAACTAACCTCTTGGCGCTATTTCACACAATAAACACTATATTTATCTAAACACTTCGGCAAAATAGTTGCATTAAAACCCCGGCCTGAGATTTCCACTTTAATATACAATTCTTAATTAATTAATTAAGTAAAACGCGTTTATAAATGTCTTCACAAACGCTTGCACATTTCACAAACAAGCAGAAATAACAATGGCTGACAGTAACACAAAATGTATGCTACCATACGTTAAAAAAATACACCACAAATAAGTGCGTATAATTAGGGAGTATAAGTGTACAATACGTACATACATTGCTCTTACTAAAAATAATAATATTAAGATCGATAGGGGTCTTACTCCTGATTATGACGGTATAATTTTTTTCGGGTGGAAATAATATTTACTGGTGTTATTGTAGTTCAAAGTACCCGAATGTAGAAAACGTACATCAACAATTTGATAAATAATGAAAATTTTTAATAAAAAATCGCGCGACGATTTTTTATTAAAAATGTTCGCCCGCGGCGCTCTTTCCATAAAAATCAATACTTCGATAAGTAATGAAAATTTTTAATAAAAAATCGCGCGATATTTTAAAAATTTTCGCCTGCGGCGCTTTTTCCATAAAAATCAATACTTCGATAAATAATGAAAATTTGTTATAAAAAATCGCGCTTTTTTTTATTACAAATTTTCGACTGCGGCGCTTTTTTTTTTCGACATAAAAATCAACACTTCGATAAACAATGAAAATTTTTAATATAAAATCGCGCGATTTTCTTCGCCTGCGGCGCTTGTCATTTTTTCTATATATTGGGGGTGTTTAACCCCATACCCTCCTTTACTACTAATTCAACGCTGAGCAGGAAAATGGGTACGATAAAAACTATTCTCTTTTATTGTTATTTTCTTAGATGTGGCAGCACTCTTCTAATGTCAGTGTGAAGCCATGGTTGAATCAACGGTTCTGTATTCACAATGTGCGTATACATATATAAGGGCGTGATAACTATAAAAACTTACTTAATTTACTAAAAATACATCATATATGTAAAAAATATGTTTACATTTCATTGTGCGGGGTTTTAATGCAACTATTTTGCCGAAGTGTGTACATAAATATAGTGTTTATTGTGTGAAATAGCGCCGAGAGGTTAGTTCAATTTACAAAATTTAACAACAAATAACTTAAAAACTGTAAGCCTCCTGCGGCTAAAAGTATATATATTTGCAATCAAGAGAACTCCCCATACCCACCTTTTTTTTGTACGCGGGGGATGCCAAACTAAAATTTTCCCGAAAACAACGAAAACCAAAATTAGCAAAAATTATTGTCTGCCACTTTAAATGCACAATTTAGGTAAAATTATGCAACAAAATGCTTTAAAATGTGTTGTCATGTTGAATTAACTCTTCTTTACTTGAATAAAAGTGTAAAATAGTGGTGCTTGTGATGTAAACAAACGCTCAGCTGACGAACCCGCTTTCGCAAACTTTTTTCTCAAAACCAGTTACAAATACAACGTCGCGTTCTTACGTGATCTTGTATTTTTGGTTCATGAGTTGAACGTATACATGGTAATCTATGGCTATGCTCACTCTTATGGGCTGTTTTTGCTTATGCGTAAAAGCACATTTAGCGCATTTAACTCTAAGGGCCGGTTACTCAATGTCTGGTTAACACTAATCTGCGGTTAAACATCGTTATCGACAACTTCGACTCCATGCATATAACAGGGAGTCGGTAACGTCGATAACTATGTTTAACCGGAGATTAGTGTTAACCAGACATTGAGTAACCGGCCCTAAGGCTTTCTGCACATTGGTCGTCCAATCATAGTTAGGTCATCGTCACAAACATGATACAACGATTACATGGCGACTACATTTTCGCACACTCGGTCGTGATATTTCAATTCATTTGGCGCCTAAAAATTTACTAGGAGCAGGTATTTTCTGTTTTTCTGGTTGATATTTTCGCGAAATATTTACAAAAACCTGCAATTTTTAAAATATGGACTGTGCTGTAACAATTCTAGACATAACTTTTCAGTAATATCGCTTATTTTCTTTTCCTGAAATGTATTTTGTGCATGCACACAGAGACTTTTTATAATTTGGACATGTTTTATAGTTAAAACACTCACATTTGTTGAATTTTATTGCAATTATCCACTTTTTAATTATGTCGACAGATTTTAGCCAAAGACACTAATTTTTATGCAATTTTAATGCAAATATTAACTTTTTCACAAATTTTTCTCCATAAAATGTAAACAAACAATGCGTGCACAACGATTACCAAACGACAGTACCGTTCTTATCCGTTTCTGCATCTTCTACGATTTGCCGATAACGACAAGTGTGCAGATCTCCTTTGAAATGCATGTGCTCGGCCCAAAACTTCAGGGCGAGACGATAACGCAACTATGATTGGACGACAAGTGTGCAGATAGCCTAAATGTACATTTATCCACACACAATTCGTCACTTAAATGCAACTCCATTTTTGCATTAAGAATGTAAATGCTAAAAGCAACCCTGTGATTTTCCAAAATTTCCACGATTCGAACATGATTTAATGAGAAAAAGTGGCAACATTCCTTTTTCGAGTATACAGTTGCTAGCTGCGTTTCAGTGATCGCCGGTCAAGATTTCATTTATTATTTTACATTATTTGGATAAAGAAGAAAATTCAACATCGATGTGATGCTGATAGAAATCTGGATCAATTTGTGATCAACTCTGTTTGTTTTGTTTCCTAATTAGGTGAGGAAATTTTAATTGACCGTACCGACAAATGAATAAATACACAAACAAATGTTCGGTTATGGATAAAACAAGTAAAATTTTTGTATTGAAAGTTTTGGTTTAAAATTTATTTTTTCCTTTTCAGTAGGGTTTTTAGCGCATTATCTTCTGCGTGAGAATTGATCCTAATATTACATTTACATTGGACCAAAATGCGTGATTTGAAATCAGTCATTTGAAGGTGTTTACACTGCTTGATCCGCATTTGCTTTGACTTCTCATCAAATGAAAAGGGAAGACAAAAACAAAATGTATGTAAACAAACACTACATTTATTATATTGTTAACGCTTTTTGGACACAAAAAGGCAATTATTCTTTGATTAAACTAAAAATGTGTAAAGCTCTTGTATAAATTAACAATTTTTACACACAAATTTCAAAGATTTATTTATTTCGTTGTGTTTGTTTTGTGTTTGAAAAATTCCAAATGTCAAAGACAAACCAAAGCTTTTGTGGAACTTTTGTTTCTGAGTGCGTTCAATAAAATAGTACGGCAATTGGAACGCATTTGTTTCGTGATTTTGTGTAAATGCGTCGAAATGCGTCATTCTGGAAATGTGAATTTGTATGGAGAAATGCGTGATTTGGCCTCGCATTTGAGGTTTCTCGCCCAAATGACGAATTTGGGCTCAATGTAAATGTAATATAAGCGACTGGAACACGGCTGTTTGTCAAAAGCATACGATTTCGAACTCACGTAAATGTACATTTACTAAATGCGGTATGATGAACGCTCTTCGAAAACACATTTTCGAAAGTGCTAAATTATGCATTTTAAATGCAGCAAAAACGCTGCATTATACTTTTGTAACATATACACTTATGGCGTTGTATGAAACTGTATGCCGACTCCCTTTTGAAGTCCATTTACTTATAAGTTTTAGTCTGTAGGCAATGTCAAACAATAAAGAACGTTACAGTGGCAACGAGCTAAGAAACGACCCACAAAAGCAGACTGTAGTATAAATGGCCGCGCAAATCATTGGGAGTGTGCCACATTTTCGGCACGAAGATAACGACTGGAATGTGTTTCATCAACAAATCAACCAGTTCTTTATTGCGAATGAAATTACGGATGACAAGAGGAAAAAGGCAATTTTTTCTAACGTTAATCGGCGACGGTTTCTATGTACTCCTGCAAAACCTAATGTGTCCGCAAATGTGAACGAGCCAACTACGACCTTCAAGAGTTGTGTAGATGTTACGGATGCACATTTTAAGACGCCGGCGTCCGCTTCTGCAGAGCGCTATAAATTTTACAACGCAAAGAAAACAGCCATAGAGTCCATAAATGATTGGGCCGTGCGAGTGAGGTCTTTGTCATTAAATTGCGAATTTTGTGCGTGTTTGGATGACGCACTTAGAGACAGAGTCATCATGGGCTTGGATAAAGGTCCGGCCCGCGATAAAATTTTCATGGAGACGTTAGCGTGTGGTTTTAAGAAGGCGGTAGAGATCGCGAACACGACCGAGTACATATATACTCCACATTTCGGCGGCGCTATCAAACAAGAACCGCAAGAAACGTTTACCTATGTACATAGCAAGGGCAAAAAGTACACCAGCAACCGCCGCCGCAGCAGCAGAGGAATACGCAGCGGCAAGCGCAGCAGCAGAGACATGAACAACGTGGACAGCAGA